TATCTCTTTTGGATAGAGGGAGCTGTGCAGGCCCTATGCCACCTTGTGAGGGGGCCCCCGTGAAGTTTGGTGATGCCAGCAAGTGCAAGCAGAGCGAGGAGGAGATCCGCCAGGCGATGCACGAAGCCAAGGAGATGTGCTTCAGCAAGCTCCAGGAGTGCGGTATACTGTCTGTGGTATCGTAACGTGACGTTCCTATCGTTCGGGACACGTAGCATACAAGACAGTATGCACGAATGCCAGGAGCTGTACGACTTGCAGATGGAGTTGGGGAAGTGCGCGGCAAGCATCACTGAGACCAAGAAGGAGGTGGAGGAGGATCGCCAGCCCCTGCAGCACATTCAGCAAGAAGCTGAGGAGTGCGAGAAGGCGAAGGCCAAGAAGGAGTCGGAAGAGTCCTTGGGCTTAGGCTTAAGCTCCGAGAAAGAGGGATCACACGAGTTTTGCCCCGCCTACATCTCAGAGCTGGAGGCTGGGCTGAAGGACTACACTTTGGCCGTGGGGAACTGCATCTCCGTGCAGGTCTCCGCCAGTGTGAAAATCCCAGAGATCAACATCGAGCTGCCTGAGATCAAGGTGGGCCAGGTCCACGAGGGTTCCTTCGATGTGCAGATTCCCAACTTCGAGGCACCGGACTTCACGGGTGACATTGTGGTGCCCGGCGGCGGTGGCAAGCTGAATGTGGCTGTAAGCCATGAAGGCCAGACGCAAGGTCACGCGGAAGGTCACGCGCAAGGTCACGCGGAAGAGCCTCAAGAGGCGAAGCTGACCTTCGACCAGCGAGTGGCGAACATCAAATCGGACATTAAGTCATGCGAAGAGGCGAAGACGAAAGTGGTAAAGACAAAGGAGGAGGTTGCCGGCATGAAGACAGACATCGTGCAGCAGAAGGAGAAGGCCCAGCTGGAACGGTCGCCATCATTTATGTTTCTGGCCAGTAGCCCACGGCCTAGGGAGGATATCGTGCTAGTTAGTTGTTTGCAGCGAGTAAGTGCAACTTATGCGGCTCATATTGGTAATCGTAGAGCTGAAATGCACGCGTTGTAACTGAAGTATTCAACAACCAGGGGCAGGATAGCACGGGGTAGTAATGACCAAAAAAGAGTAGGATGATGCTGCTGCCCACTCAATTCGTGTCGAGTGTAGCATGAGTAGTACTAGCTAATATTGTTTTGTAGAAGCGGCACGGCACCGTTGAGCGTGGCTCGTGTCGCAGTGCATTTGCAGTACTACTACGACCACTGCTCCGCACTAAGCCTAAACGCTAAGCCCGCAAACAAAACACACCATGTGCCTTAGCCTGCCCTCTTCTCAGGCCTGCAAAGAAGCCGGCAGCTTGCTCCAGACTGGTACCAGCCCGGAGGCGAGCGTCGCCATCCAGGCTCTGCTCGAGGGTCTGAGGGGGCTCCTGATTTAGGGTTTAAGGTTCAGGGTCTTGAGGTTTATTCATTGGGTGCTTAGTTTAGGGTTTCTTGAGGTTAAGAAGTTTGTGCTAGAGCTCCAGGCTCGCGTAAAAGAGGTTCAGTATGGCTACAGTAGATAGAGTTCAATGATAAATACGGTGCAGAAAAGTACAGAACAGCAAGCCGCAGTCTTGCATGATACATTTTGGTACGGTACGTATGCGGTTTGGACTCTGGTCAAGCCAGTCAGGGTTTTGGAAAGTTTCGGAGTGAAAGAAGAATAAGATGTTGGATCCGTGCAGGATTTCATGGATTTATAAGGGGTCGGCCCTTAGGGTTAGGAGGTAGGGGGCTTGGGGTGTAGGGCTAATAGGGAATAGGGAGCGGGGCCAGGTTTAGATAAACCATAACCCTCCCGGAACCTTGAACATCGTCCCAAGGTCCCGTCATATCCCCAGGGCACCTCCAGGGAAGGCTCCGGAACACTTACGTCCTGTGGTGCATCTGGGCCGTAGGCCAAAAGGAGCTTCGGATAGAGTTAGAGGGAGCTGCAGTAAACAGTGTTGAGCCGAAGCCCCAAACTCGACACCTTAAACCCTAAACCCTAAACTAAACCCGAAACCGTTGAGAAGCCCCCCCCACCCGGGGCGTTGCGGCCTTTTTAGTCACTAGTCCTGGTAGCCTCGCAGGTCTTCACCAGCATGAAGATGATTTGGAGATGCTCAGCCTCTTGCCTCCGGTTTAGGGTTTAGGGTTTAGGGTTTTGGGTTTAGGGGTTAAGGGGTTTAGGGTTTAGGGTTTTGGGGTTAAGGGGTTTAGGGTTTTAGGGCTCAGCCTCTTGCCTCCGCAAGGATTCCTAAGTTCTCCGGCTTCGGCCTAGGCTTTGGGGACAAGGTGGAGGAGGCTCAAGGTTTAGAGTTGAGGCTTCTGCCATACCGCTATAAAGGCTTCACTGGCATGTGCATGGTGCCTGTCTTGAAGTTTGCGGACATCTCTTCTTGAGATCAAGCCTCGTTTTGGACACTTCTGTCACCATTTAATATTCCCGTAGAGCTCTAGTCAGTCCCGGCAAGCATTCGGGTACACGAGAGCAAGGCCGTCGCCACCGCGATCGACGTTATCATCAAGATCCTGGAGAAGTGCTGAGAGCAGGGTTCAGGGGTTTAGGGTCTATAGGGTTTAGGCAGCTTGCTCTCTTGCCCTTCAAAGCTGTCCCTTCAAAGCTGTGTGAGTTGCCGCGAGGGCCGCTTGGGCGCTTTGCGGAAAAGGTTTGTTTGCGGGGCGTAGAGCTAAGGATCAGGGTTCAGGATGCAGGGCCTCAGCTTTAGAGCCTATAAGGCGCATGTAAGATGTTCAGGGTTTATAGGGTATACGGTTTGTGGGGTGATTTTTTGGGGGTTCCTGATTAAATTATATAACTCGTGTGTAAACAACACCAAAACACCCATGATTAAGGCGCCTTTATTAGCACATTATTATTATGGTATAATATCCCCCCGAAACCCTATTCTAAGCGTTTCAGGTTCTGTCGCTGGGGTCCCTGGACCAGAGGTTCGAAGTCTTGGATGGTGGAGTTTCAGCGTTCCAGGGTCTGGCGCTTCAAGGTTCTTTTTTTTTTGGGTGGGTGGGGGGGGGGGGGGGTGGGGGGNNTAGGGTTTAAGGGGTTTTGGGGTTTAGGGCTCAGGGTCTCGAGGGTTTAGGTTTCAGGGTCTCCGGTTGTAGGTTCAGGTCTCTGAGAGTTATTGCATGTCCGAGCTGGGCTTGTGCTCATGGTTGTATGACCATCCTGAGCTGAACCTGCATTCCTGAATCGAGCAAACCTCAAAACCCCAAATCCCAAAACCCGAAAGCACTGCATCCTCAGAAATCTGGGAGCAGTGTTTAGTGTTTGGTGCTTGAAGGCTCGGGGGCTTTTTCGGGCTTGGGTTTCTGGACCTTACAGTACTGGTAGGGCTGGTAGGGTTGAGTCCACTGGGGCTTCCGGGATAGGATGAGGGTTCAC